AAAACAAAACAGGTAATCAAACCTTCTCGCCAATTTAAGTGATTGTGAAATGTAATTCCCAGCGGTTATCATTTAGAGAAAGGCAAAACAATTTCTCTTATATATAACTGAGAAGAAGAAATTTCTGAACAGTCCAAAGGCCCAAATGAAGACATGGTGTGTATGTCTGCTTCAGTCTTGGTGCCCTGTCCAGCACTGAATCCTGAGTTCTAACTCCACATAAGTGATGCCAGAATTACAGTGCTTCAGTTATCCCCTCTGCATCTCGGGATATGGAAGGCTTATTGTATATGTCACTGGTCACAACTCTTCAATGATGAATAAGGAAAATTCCTGTTTGCCACTTCTAGGATTGATATAACCGTGGCAACAGAGAATAGCACTGCCCACCTGCCCACAACACCGGTGCAGAAGAGCCACAGAAATCATCACCTCAGTCTGCTCATGAGTGCTCTTATCCCAGTTAAGGTTTTGATGACTGCGCACACAGTGCCAATTCTTAACAGTATTTTATTTATTGTTTTTATTTTTATGTATATGAATGTATTGCCTGTATGTATGTAAGGGCACTTGTATTGTGCAATGTGTGCAGAGGTCAGAAGAGGGCATCGGATCCCCTGGAGTTACAGGCTGTTGTAAGCCACCATGTGCATGCTGGGAACTAAACTCTGGTCCATTTTGAGAGCAGCCAGAGCTCTTAACCACTGTGCCACCTCTCTACCTCTACAGTTCCAATTTTTATCCTTTTGCATTTGCATGTTAATTATGAAAGTGTCCACTTTCTTTTTATAATGTCATGTGGTTATGTTTTCAAATCTTAACTTCTTATCTAGGGGGTCTCTTTAATGTTTAATATTCTACCTTGTTCAGTTACTGAAAAATATCTCATTTAACTTTGTATGAACTGATTTTTTTTCTTGACTGTGAAATTTTCCATCTAGCAATCACATTACTAATATGCAAAATTTATTGTTTTAATTATAAAAGCAAATGTAACCCATGATTATTAAGAAAACTGGTTTTCACATCAACCACTTTATTTCTGATTATAATAAAGTAACACAGGCTTCATTAAAAGTTTATGGATATTGATTTTTGTGTTTGTGTGTGATTTAAAATAATAAAAAGAATTAAACCTTCTTGCAAGTCTAGATGATCATGAAATTTAATTATCACCAGTTATCATTAAAACAAAGGCACAGCAATTTCTTTTACATATAATTGAATACTCCAGAAGAAAACTTCTGAAGAGTTTTCAGAAAATGTGTTTTTTAAATTAATGCTAAACTGATTTTTTTCATTTGTTATGTGTCATTTGGTAACAAGTATAAATGACACACTTTGGTGATGTAGTTAAACAACCACAAGTGAGATTATTCTCAGGAAAGGCAGATGACCTTGAGCTTAATACTGAGGAAACTATCACTGCTTTATTCTGTGCAAATGCCACCAAACTCTAGCCTCTCACTCCTCTGAGAACAGGTTGGATCATACTGAGTTCCCTTCTCCAGGTGCTGAACTCTACAGAAGTAAACTGTTTCTATTCTTGTGCTCAGTATTGCAAGTTTATCCTAGGGTCCCAGAACTATTTCATCAAAGCCGCTGTTACCTAAACAGAGCACAAGTGAGTGTGCATGGCCTGTGTGCATCACTATTAAGAGAAGAGTGAGCATCCCATCCACCAGACAAAAGAACCAGCAGCCCAAGACAGACAGAAGAAAGCCACAGACTTCCCTATCTCCAGGCCTTAAGCTTTTCCTTTTCCTGAAACACTTCTATCTGCATTCTGGAAAGCTCCTTCAAGCTCCAAAACATATATCACCTCCACTGGCCACTCCAAATGGAAGCAATCACACCTTTTCCCTGCACTCAGTTCCATAAAGTTCGTTTTATCAGCCGGGAACATGGCTATCCTTTGCTTGCCTCTATGAACTGCTGCTTACTGGATTCATCTTGTCAATCCAACATTCAGAGCGATACCTGAGAGATGGAATGCACTCAATAAGTGCTTCTTTAAAGGAGTCCAAACTCAAGGCCAAATTCAGTATATGATGGAAGAAACAGATTTTAAGTGTACTGCAGTTGGAGCCAGTGAGCACGTTCTTTTTCACTCCTCAAAGCCAAAAGTTGTTTTGCACCAAGCACTCCTTGGTTTTTGGTCTTTTGGAAACAGGGTCTCCCTATAACCACAGCTGGCCTAAAAGCCACTATGGAGACTAGGCTGGCCTCAGTCTCATAGATCTACCCACCTCTACCTTCCAAGTGCAGGTACTAAAGGTGTGTACCACCATGCCCAGCTTAAAATTAATTTTTATAAATTATGTATGTGTGTGTGCCTCTTTATGTGTATGCCACAAGTGTGTGAGTGCCTGTGGAGGCCAAAGGAGGGTGTTGAATCCCCTGGAGTTGGAGTTACTTGCGGTTGTGAGCTGCCAAGTGGGTGCTGGAAACTGAACTCAGATCCTCTGGAAGAGCAGCAAGTACTCTTAAACACTAAGCCATCTCTGTAGCCCCTGAACCAGGCCCTGTGCTAAATATGAGAACCCATTATTTTACTTAATCCCTGCGACACTCCCCTGAAGGAATCTTAGTGCTGGCCTGATTTACAGATGAGGAAACTGAGGCCTGGAAACATTAAGTAACTCATTTCAAAGCTTCTAGCTGGTCAGTAATGGAGCTAAAATTGAAATACAATGGTTCCAGAATTTCAGAGCCATAAATAAAGCTATTTCTTTTCCTTGTTTAACCTTGAAACTGGGGGTTCTAATTTACTGTCCTGCACATAGTAGGCCCTTCAACATGGTGACAAATAGGTTCATGGAGTGCCCTAGTATCTCAGATCTGTCCTTTTGCCTGAGAGAACCCAGCTGCTCTGCAAACAGGCTCTATTCTTTCCTGCCCAACACCTCTCACAGGTGTGAATTGCTGTGTCCTCTGAATTATTCATGATCTACACAATGGTGAGTGTGCTTAAAAAGAACTATGATTCCATATTTTTCAAGACCCAGTGTCTGATGAATTGGTGAACTGAGCTACATAAGCTCACAGGTCAGGTTGATTTACATTAAACAATAGATCCATTCCCACTCTTTGAATTTCAGTTTTCACGTAATTTCTCAGTTTCCAATAAGATTAAAAATAGTGATCCATAAAGCAAGAAAGAAAGCCATGGTATGCACCCCTCCCCTATCTGTGAAGCAATTACCATCCTCTAAAGCTTATCCTGACTGCCTTGTATATTCTTTCTAGGGCTAAGTTAGAATTTCCAATCAGGCTTCTCAAGCTGTATCAAGATCCAAAAATCCAGATGCTACAGCATCTGTAATTCATGCCTCCAATGAATCCTGTGACAATACTGTCTCCTTGTCCTTTCTCACCTGTCTTCGCCTTTGCCATTCTCCCTTAGCAGTTCATTGAATGGCCAGTCTTCTGAGAGGGAGAACCATATGTTAATAGGAAGCCAACATCACTGCATTTTAAATTGAATGTTAGTCAACCAAAATGAATTGAAAAGCAGCAGCAGTGGTTTGAGGATACTAAAAATAAGCCATAGCATTTGCTGAGTTCTCAGAATTAAAACCACAGGAGGCCAACTTGTTGCTGCTCTTAATAAGATCTGACTGCTCTGCCCATTGGCTGCTACTGCCAGAAACTCCAGCCCCACTGGACATCTAACAACACTGATTTTATTAGGTGACAGTGCTCGCTAAAGAAAGTGTCATGTCCCTGGAACTAAACCCGACAAAAATACAGCAGAGAGTGTTCCAGGGACCACCTTGTGCCACATTATAATTGCACCCTGGCCACATTCAACTAGCATTTATAGTGTGAGTAATTACAGATCTGCAGATTGGGTCTCTTAAGTCTGCCTTCCTGTCCAAAGCCTAGATACCCCCCCACCCCAGTTTAATTTTTGGAGAATGATAAAAAGAAGACAATAGGGCAGTGTACAGTATCAATACATTGAGCATGTCCAGTAGGGCTTCAAGATCTTCTTGACCCCTGAATACTGTACACCATTCTGAATATCTTATTAGCTATTCCTCTGGGGTTGTTATTAAAGTTTTCAATGACCAGAGAGGTAGAGAAATTGTGCATAATGCATCATTCTGATTAGAAACTGTCATATTCAGAAACCAGTAGGGTTGACTCTATTGATCTGTACTCCTTCACATTCATTATCTTTTTTTTCCTCTTCAATTAGACCTGCTGATCAACCATAGGAAAGCTGAAAGCCTTTTCCTAAGCCACAGTAAATACGGGAAAAAAAGAAGCCTTGAAACTA